GTCTTGGGCCCCTCTTGGGGCTCATTTGGGGGGTCTGGGGGCCTTCTTGGGTTTTTTCTGGGATGCAAGAGGGGCCTCTTGGGGCCGTCTTGGACCATTTCGCAAAAAAAGAAAAAGAATTCCAATGACACTACCGAGGAACCCCACATACTTAATTTTATATCCTGTGTGCACTATGCTACCACTACCACCGCCACCACCACGAGCCACTTCGATCTTTCAGATCGGTTTGAGCCGCGATGTTTGCGGATCAGGGCAGCGCCGTGGATAAACACTGCACTTAGAAACCATGCAACCGCACCCCCAGTAGTGTCCAGAAGCCGCCACGCCTGCTGCAATAGGCTTTGCGGCAGTGTCGTGGATAGCGGCCCTGCCCAATGACCACCCACTGCGCGCCCGTGTGGCGTCGAGACATTGCCACGCCTACTAGGCTTGTCGACAACGTGGTGGAAAGAAGCCGGACCTGAGACCACTCCCAGCGCACCCCTTTCTGGTGTCGAGAAATTGCCGCGCCTGCTAGGCTTTACGACAGTGTCGTGGATAGCGGCCGCGGTGAGAGACCACCCCCTGCGCACACCCTCTGGTGTCGAGAAATTGCCGCGCCTGCTAGGCTTTTCGACATTGTCGTGGATAGCGGCCGCGGTGAGAGACCACCCCCCTGCGCACACCCTCTGGCGTCGAGAAATTGCCGCGCCTGCTAGGCTTTTCGACAGTGTCGTGGATAGCGGCCGCGGTGAGGGACCAAAGCCCTGCGCACCCCCTCTGGTGTCGAGAAAGTGCCACGCCTGCTATGCCCTGGACGACCGTCGTGCATAGCGGCTGCGTTGAGGGACCACCCCCTGCGCACCCCCAGTGGTGTCGAGAAAATGCCACGCCCGCTATGCCCTGGACGACTGGCGCGCATAGCGGCCGCGGTGAGGGACCACCCCCTGCGCACCCCGTCTGGCGTCGAGAAAGCGCCACGCTTGCCATGCCCTGGACGACCGTCGTGGATAGCGGCCGCGGTGAGGGACCAACTCCTGCACACCCTCTACGGTGTCGAGACAATGCCACGCCTGCTATGGCGTGGACGACCGGCGCGCGTAGCGGCCACGGTGAGGGACCACCCCCTGCGCATCCCCTATGGTGTCGAGAAAGTGCCGCGCCTGCTATGCCCTGGACGACCGTCGTGCCTAGCGGCCGCGGTGAGGGACCACCCCCTGCGCACCCCCAGTGGTGTCGAGAAATTACCGCGCCTGCTAGGCACTGCGCGACCGTCGTGCATAGCGGCCGCGGCGAGGGACCACCCCCTGCGCACCCCCTATCGTGTCGAGAAAATGCCACGCCTGCTATGGCGTGGACGACCGGCGCGCGTAGCGGCCACGGTGAGGGACCACCCCCTGCGCATCCCCTATGGTGTCGAGAAAGTGCCACGCCTGCTATGCCCTGGACGACCGTCGTGCCTAGCGGCCGCGCTGAGGGACCACCCCTTGCGCACCCCCAGTGGTGTCGAGAAAATGCCACGCCTGCTATACCCTGGACGACCGTCGTGCATAGCGGCCGCGGTGAGGGACCACATGGGACCACCCCCTGCGCTTCCCTTATGGTGTCGAGAGAGTACAACGCCTGCCGCGCTCTCCGACCCTGGCACGCATAGAGGCCGCGCTGAGGGACCACCCCTTGCGCACCCCCTCTGGTGTCGAGAAACTGCCGCGCCTGCCACGTGCCCCTCTATGTGGGGCTTGCCACGCTCTCCGACGTGTGGTGTGTGTGTGTGTGTGTGTGTGTGCGTGTGTGGTGCGATGCGGTCACGCCTGCCGTGCCCTGCGTGCTAGCCCTGCGTGCTCTGCTGTGCTGAGCTGTGCTGTGCTGTGCTGTGCCGAGCTGAGCTGTGCTGTGCTGTGCTGTGCTGAGCTGAGCTGAGCTGTGCTGTGCTGTGCTGTGCTGAGCTGTGCTGTGCTGTGCTGAGCTGTGCTGAGCAGTGCTGTGCTGTGCTGTGCTGTGTTGTGCTGCGCTGTGTGAGAAGGGGAGGAGGGAGGAGGAGGTGAAGGTGAACACGGGTGCGGCGCGGCAAGGAAGAAAACAATAACCCCACGAAGCATGTGGGGAATTCCAGTCGCCCCCTCTGAGGCTCAAAAATGCTGTCTTGGGGCCCTCTTGGGCCGCTCTTGGAGCGCTCTTGGGCGCTCTCGGGGCCGGCCTGGGGCCTTCTTGGACCCCTCTTGGGGCAATATTGGGCCGTTTTGAGGCCATCTTGAGACCTCAAGAGCCCATCGGAGGCGAAAAAGCGAGAAGGGAAAACGTATTGATTTCCCTTAGGTTGTTGAAGGATGTTGGCCTCTTGGGGGGTCCTCGGAGGCCTCGGACAGCACTTGAAACCATCTTGGGGCCGTCTTGAGGCCTCTTGGACGTATGTCGGAGGCTATCTTGACCCATCTACCGCTCTCGTGGGCCATCTTGGAGGCCATCTTGCGCTTTCGGAGCCCCCCCCCCTGTCCAAACGCATGGAGGGGGGGGGAGGTAAACCTCCCGAGCGGGGAAAGGCAGGAGGTTGGAAACCGAAACGCTCTAGACCACCTGCGCCCAGAGGGCTGGTGGGATTACATGGATGTCTCTGGCGAGAGCGCGATTTCTGGGTAAGTTGCAAGGGACACCCAAGCGAGAACGCGATTCCTCAATACATTGCGAGGAAGTATAAGGCGGGAGCTGTTTTTGATTGTTAATTATTGAGCAATTCTTTTTGTTGGACCCCCTCCAGGCGCTCTGGCACTCTCGCCTCGGCGCCGCCCCCAGCAAGAACAACGCTCCCCCTCGAGGCTTCTTTTTTCCCTGAAGACGGTGCTGTTCCTCGCCGCCGACAGCCCCCGTCCCGACAAAACCGCGGCTCCCGCTCGAGACTTCTTCCTTTGTTACTCAAGGCGGTGTTCCTCCTCGCCGCCGACAACCGCCGTCCCAACAGAACCAGCACTCCCGCTCAAGACTTCGTGTTGTTTCACGCTGGACTAGCGCCCTATTCTCTTCTGCATTGGCGCCGTTCCCAGCAACAACAGCACCACTGCTCGAGACTTCCTCCCGTTCTATTGAGGGCCAGGTCTTTGCCTCGCCGCCGACAGCCCCCATCCCCACCAAACCAATCTTATCGCTCGATACCGCCTTGTGTTTTACCCCTGGCTGGGACTCCACTGGCGGTCTCGCATCGGCGTAGCAGGGCGCGGGCATGTGTTTTCGAGGCGGGATCTGTTGAAATTCCTCGGAGGAGGTGTTTGCAAAACCTCATTGGGCGGGGAATCTGGGAGTGGGAATAACGCCCCCCCGCGGTAGAACAATAAGCCCCCATGGTGGGGACGTTTTATCATGATGGTTGCATACTGCGTGTGGAAGCATCGCGCATGAGGGTACCATGATTGTTGTGGTTGATGTTTTTGTTCGGGAGCCGAGGGCGCAGTTTGAACACCAAGACTATCCGTGATGAAGAACAGGGCGCGAACCCCAGGAGGGGTACTTCAATTGAAAAACACATGTGTTGCCAGAGGTGGGGGATCACTACCAATTGTTCTTCAGGAGTGGGAGTTCAGCAACAGCAGCAACACCACCACCACCGCCACCACCACCATAACCAACAACAACAACAACAATAATAGCACCAACGACAACACCACCACCAACAACAGCAATATAACTAATCATTTTAATACCGTTCGCTCTTATTCTTCACGTGCCATTCAACACTTCTATCCAGAACCCTTGATACCCGCTCTCTTCGTCTTCGGTCGTGTCTCCTTATGGTATATATTTCTTACCTGCAACGTGTATTTCGTGCAGCCCCTAAGGCAGGGGAAGAGAGGACGGATGGAAGGAAGGGACAGAGGGGGAGGGAGGAGGATGCAGCACCAGAGAGAGAGAGAGAGAGTGGCAGAAGGGGGGCTAGGAACAGAAAGCGCGTGGCAGAACCAGACGGGCAGATCGGGCGGGTAGGTCCTGACGGGCCAGTCGGGAAGGCGGGCCCAGGCAGCCCTGTCGAGCAGGCGGGTTGCTGAAGCGTGCGTCCTGCATAAACCGCGAGGAAATCTCAAGCGATAGCGCGACTCCCAAATAAATCAATAGGAAATCCATAGCGAGAGCGTGATTCTTGGGTGTCGAGGGCGCGTCGTCTGAATAAATTTCGAGGAACCCCCACGCGAGAGCCCGAGTCCTGTAGAAATTGTGACGTGGTCCCGCACGAGAGCGCGATTCGGGTGTAAATTGTGAGGACGTATCCGGCGGGAGCCGTTGTTGTTGTAGTTCGGGGGCCAGGGGCCTCAGTTTGGTGAGCCCTCGCTTTCTTTTTGCATAGTCCACGAGCTACGATAAACCAGTAGTGAATGCCGTGCATAATGTTCCGGCTCAAGTCTTTCCCCTGGTCGCGTGGTTCTCCACATTGGCAATCTCTAAAGCCGCCGACCTCAGCATCCTGTGGGCGCTCGGTACTCTGAAGTGCCCGCCGTGCCCCGACAGTTCGATCACCTGCCCAGCTGTGTCGTGCTCGACCCCCCCTGGTAAGCATCACCTGTCCGACCTTCACGTGCCCGACGGTGCAGCCCGAGGGTCTGTCGCACTCGTGGTCGGCAGGGGTTCTGGACTTCATCACTGGCGTGATAGTTGTGCTGCTCGCCGCGCTCGTCTTGGCGGCAGCGCGGCGCCTTTCGTCATCGGTCTTTTCGTTCGGCGAAGGGGGCACCGAGACGCAGGACGACACACGTGAACTGGCGTTGAAGCAGCTGGTAGTTCTCAGGCAGCGTCATTGCAGCGCTTGGTGAACTGGTGGTGGTCAGGTACGCCGTCCCTGGTCGAGAGTTGTGGCATGGGCGAATCATTCTGGCAGTTGGAAATGCCCCAGGGCAGTTCGCAGATTTGACTCCTGATGAGGATATCTTTGTGGAGGAGTTGAGAGGCGACAGCGATGACATCGCTGAGTTCAGGGGCTCGCCTGGGCTTGGGGGTGTGCCTCCAGGCATCGCAGGTTCGTCCCGGCGGCAGGGCAAATGATCCAGTTCGTGCCGGACGGCGCCCTGCAGGCGGGCGTGGCGCCACCAGCAGCGCCCGTGGTGCCGCGCGTCGCAGGCCAGCAGGCAACGGGGGCCGCGGCGCTCCCCGCGCTGGGAGCAGCCGCCCCGCCAGCGGGGGCCACTGCGCCTGTGGCGCCGCTGCCTGGGCGCCATCTTGCCCCAGCGGCGGCGCCCTCTCCCGCGGCGGGCCCCGCGCCCGCGCCAGGTGCGGCGGCGGCTGCGGCCGCATGCGTGCCAGGCCTTGCGGGGGCCGTGGCTGCTGCTCCGTTGGCGGCGGCGCTCGTCTGGGTGGCGGCCGAGAACGTGATCGACGTCGCTAGGGGCGCGCAGATCCCTGCTCTCCCTGCCAACGCGCTGATCTCGGGGGACCGCGGCATCATCCCCTGGGCCCGACATCGCTGCTCTCTCGCAGGATGCCTGAGGCTGACGTCTACCGGTTTGTGCATGATGACTTGCGGGTGCTGCCGATACAGTGGGGCGCCGGAAGATCAGAGAGAGCGTCATCCACCGCCGCTTTACTGTGGAAAATTGCCGCACTTTTCCTCCGGAGCCCGGGGGTCCCCCCCCCTCCCCCCCCTCCGAAAATTCCCCTTCCCCCCCTGCTGGAACCCCTTCCCCCCCCCTCCCCCCCTTCCCCCGCCCCCCCCCACCCCCCCCTCCCCTACCCCCCCCCTCTCCGTCGAAAACCGGGAGGGGGGGGGGTCGCTACGGGTTCGACCCCCCCCCCCCCCCCGCCTCGAAAACCGGAGGGGGGGTCACTGCCGGTTCGAACCCCTCCCCCCCCCCACACTCACCGCCAGCAAGCGATTCCCGGCCCCTACCACCGTCCGCACCACATCCCCCATTGTTGTTCCCAGCACCACTGTCCTTACCACCACTGTCCCCGCTGGCTCCACCACCGTCCCTACTCTCTCCACCAGTGCCCCCCACCTCTGTCGCACTGTCCCCACCACTGTTCCCACCAGGGTTCCACTCTCCCCATTTTTCCACGGCCCCAACCATGCCCGACTATCCCCACTGTCCCCACTGTCCCACTGACTCCTCCGCTCTCCCACTAAGCTGTCCCACTGTTCCCACTACTGTCCCCGCTGTCCGCACCACTGTCCCCACTGTGCCTCTGTCCCATTGTCCCACCGCCGTCCTCGCCACCGCCTTCACCACCGTTTCCACCACTGCACCCTCCACTGCCCCACTGTTTCCACCTCATTCCCATTGTCCCCACACCGCTGTCCCCACCACCGCCGTCCTCACCACTGTCCACTGTCCCTACTGTTCCCACCGTTGTCCTCACCACTGTCCCCACCACTACCGTCCCCACCACTGTCCCACTGCCCCCACCACTGTCCCGCTGTCCTCGCGCCACTGCCCCATCACCACCGCCCCCACCACTGTCCGCACCCACCCCCACATCGGTTTTCGAGGGGGGGGGTTCGAACCGGTAGTGACCCCCTCGGTTTTCGAAGGGGGAGGGGGGGGGGGTTCGAACCGGTAGTGCCCCCCACCCCCCCTTTCATGATGAACGGGGGGGGGGGGGGGGTTCGAACCGGTTGTGACCCCCCCCGGTTTTCCGGTGGGGGGGGGGGGGGGTTCGAACCGGTACGTAGTGACCCCCCCCCCCGGTTTTCCGCCAGCAGCGGTAGAACACGCTCTTTCGAAGATCAGCATCGCGGATGCCGTCTCAGCCATGGATCCCACGCCGCCCCGTGGAGGAGTAGGGTTCGAGGGCCCAGCGACGACCTACTGGCAGCTGAAGCAGATTAGGGATGATGATACCAACCCCGATCAGCATGATGAGCGTTGGGTACGAGCAGGGCGCACCCCGGATCGAGATCGGTCAGTGTGTATGAACACCAAGTCTTGTGTAGGATCCAGGGCGCCGCGGCCGCCTGCGATCAGCTTAACCTGCCGTCGACGAAGTGGGCTGAGCTCGTAGTCAGATGGTTTTTTTTTTTTTTTTTTTTTTTTTTTTTTTTTTTTTTTTTTTTTTTTTTTTTTTTTATATATATATATATATATATATATATATATATATATATATATATATATATATATATATATTATATATATATATATATATATTATATAAAACACCAGGCCGCGCCGTCCAATCCAGACTATCGGCAGATCATATCATGGGTTGGGGTTCGCAGGCAGCCGGAGGTGGGATGAGCCCCGCTCTCGCCCAGTACGCGGCGACCCAGTTGAAGGACCAGGCCGCGATCGCAAAGGAAAGCAGGAAAGCCCGCGACGAGCTGGGCGCCCGAGGACGCGGGCGCGGGAGAGGCCGCGGCCGCGGCGGTGGCGGCCTGGAGCCCGCGGGCGAGGCAGGATGAGCCCCTCCCCTCTTGGCGCGCGCGGCCTGCCGCCTGGGGGATTTTCGGGCCCGGGAGGCGAGGGCGGCGGGCTACGTCGGCGACCCGCCCCCCGCCCCCCGCGCGCGCTGGGAGCTGCCCATGGGTATTTTTTTGTCGGACAGGCTGTTTAGGGAGATAGGCCTCGCATCTGTTTCCCCCCCCGCCTCTCGTTGCCAGGGGCCGCTTGCCTGGCCGGCTTTTTTTTCTCAACCAGGGCCCTCCGCCGGCGAGGGCGTCGGGCGCGCGGGGCCGATCACATTTTAATGCGCTCAATGAGTTGCGCGGCGCCGGCTCCGCGGACGCCGCTGCAAACCTCGCTCAGGGGGGGGCCCGGCATCATGCGCCGCGGAAGATCTGCAGCGCCCGGCAGCGGTGAAACTGCGTCTTTGCCGCGTGACGCCTTTCGCGCGGTCGCGCGGATTGGCCTCGCCTGCGCTTCGGAAGAGGCTTCGAATCGCGTCGAGCCCCATCGCTCTGCCCCAGCGTTTCTGCGTCAGTCTGGAGCACGCGCCCCCCTTCTGGAGGACGTGCTTGGCCGGGAGGGGCGGCGGCTTGTAATCGATGGGGCCGACCGCATGCTAAAGCCCCCACAGGAGTGGGGGGAGGTGGCGGAGCTTTCTTCGCGCATCACTCCCTGCGTCGAGGAGGGCTTGCGAGCTGATCGGGGTGCTTGCGATGGTTTTGTGAATGAGTTGTAGGCAGCGGGCGTCGTTGAATTCGCATTTTCGGTCGAGGACCATATCGAGCCGTTCTTCGTCAACAAGAAAGATGTCGCCCTTTGCGCGGTCATGGACTGTCGTGGACCAAGCCGGAGATTTCGCGCGCCAGCTCGGGTGAGAATCGCTGCTGGGGCAGTCCTGTCGGATCGGCCAGCGCCTTTACGGGGCCTTGTCGGACGTCGGCAATTTGCCCTGGGGCTCGCCCTGCCGCGCTGGCTACGCAAGTTTTTCGTCCTGCCGTCAATTGATACTTCAGCCGCGCAGTCCTATCTGGACGCCCGAGATGGGCACGGAAAGAATTTGTAATATGCCCAACAGCAGTTCTTGTTCATTCTGAACAGGATTCGCTGTCCACGCCCCCGCGGCCTGTGTCCATTCGAGACAGAAGGCCGCCTGCCAAACAGCGGCCGCTGTTGCTTTGGGACAACAGTTGTTGTTGGGCATTGTACCCATTCTTTCGGCGCCCATTTCGGGCGTCCAAATCCTAGGGTGCTCTGTTCGAGGTTCTCCAACGCCAGTCTGGGCTTCCAGGTGGCGTTCATCCTGGTTCGCGCGTCTGCCCGCAAGGGTGGTCTCGGGCCTTCTGGTTTGCGCAGCGCCCCCGCTCGCATCGGGCCCTCTCGGGAGCTCGCCCGGGCCCCGGTCGTCTACCTGAGGAGGGCGCCCCGATCCCGGACCTCGCTAGCCGGGGGCCCGTGGCGTTGCCGTTCTGTGACAACTTGATTGTGATGGGGGTGGATCCGGACTCCGTGAGCGCCTGCAAGACCTTCGCCGTTAGCCAGCTAAGACGCGTGGGCTTCCAGGCGCAGAGGGAGGTTGATGTCGCCGACCTTTGAGTCCCTTGGATATCTCGCAGACGGGAGGAGGGAAGGTGCGTTTCCTTCACCGTCGAGGCTGGGGAGGGCCATCGGGGCTTCTGCCCACTTGAGACGAAGACCGCGCGTCGCAGGCTGGCAGAGATGCAAGGCGCTGGGATGTGTCACTCCGATATCCCTCTTTACTCGCTCCACGTTCCCCCCCCCCCCGAACGCTCCGCGCCAGTTCGCGCGCGAGAACAGGAGTCGCAAGAGGCGGCCCTGGCAGTCGGCAGCTTTGGAGTGCAAGTGGGGCCCCCTTCTGCTGCCGCTTGCGCGGGCGGATCTTCGCGCGCCGTGGGGCCCCCAGGTAAAAGTTGCTGACGTCTCGCTCTCCGGCTACGCATTGGGCAGGAATGCCCGGGGCAGGTCCGACGTAATTGAAGTGGGGGGCGCCCGAGAGACGCCCCGCTATCATCGCGCTGTCCCAGTCGCTGCGCTTCGCCGAGCTGCGTTGGGCATCCTCGATCCTTTCGAGGACCTGGTGTCCGTGGGGCCGATTGTGGACCGCTTCGAGCCTGCCCCCCACGAGCCTAATTTACTTGTCCAGGAGGTTCCAGGCTCGACTTCAGGAGGCCAGGTGGAAAACAAGCTACGCCGCCCCGTTCGTTTTCAGCGAGGGCATCGGGGGCCCGGAGTCTAGGGCGACGCTGTCCGGGATCAAGCATGCTCTACGGGCCTTAGGGGCCTTTCGTGCTCTCCGCCATCACCTCGGAGGCAATCTTGGGAATGTCCTGGGCCGGAAGAAGGGCGGGGCGAAGAACATCGCGAGGCTCATCTGCTGTGGCAGGATCTGTGCCCTGTAGCTCGCTGCCTCCTCTCGCACCCACCGCCGCTGGATCCCCTCGGAGCGTGGCCCCGTGGACTTGGGGTCGCGCCTGCGGGGGCACCTGCGGCTCGAGCATGGCCAGAGGGCCCCTGCCCCGGGGGGCCCTGGCAGCCGCGTCCCAGCGCCCGCTGGCGCAGGCGAGGCCCCCTTCAGGCCTCCGCCAGGCCTCGCATGTCCCGACGCCTCGAGGTGGCCCAGCTCTTCTGCGGCGAGGTCTGGGCCCTGCGGTTGCCCGACGACGCCGTCCTGCAGCTGCTCGCCGGGCGCGACGGAGATGGGGCGCCGGGCGCCGGGGGCCCCCAACAAGGAGGTTCGCGCGAGACTCCGCGGCGAGCTGGCGGGGTCACGGGCATCTGGGCGCCGGCGGACCCCAACGGCCACGTCGAGACTTTCTCGGAGGCCAACTCCGTCTCGGAGAGGGCCCGCGCCACGTGCGTCGAGCGGGCGGGCGACTTCGAGCGCTGTGCTCGCCTCCCTTTCAAGTCGGCGAAGGCGGTGGGCTGCGCCATGGTCGACTACCTCCGCCAGCAGTCGCTCGAGGGGGCCGGCGTCGGGGAGGCAGCGGGCCTTTGCGCGGCGTGGGCAAGACTTCGACCGTCGTTCTCGATGAAGGGCCCCGACAAGCTGGCGCGTGCCATGAAAGCGCTGCAGGGCTCCAACAGGCTCGACCCACCTCGGACCTGTCGAGCCCCTGTCGTTGCAGATCAACGATTTGCCGCCCCCCGCGCCGGGGGGCCCGCGCCGCGCCATCCACCTTCGCCGAGCGGAGAGAGGTCAGCCAAGCAAAGTTGGCCTGTGCGACGAGACGCTGCCGTTGGACTCGTCTGCCCCCCCGTTCCTCGGATGCATGGCGGGCGCGCTGCGGGCCGCGGCTGTCGGGGCAGCTCTTTTCGACTTCGATTGCCAGGTCTTGAACGTTTCAAGAGGGCCGCCAGGGCGTCGGGCCTCCCGGCGATCCAGCCTGGTCTCTACCAGCTTCGCCGCGGCGCCCCCTCCCGTGACATCTTGAATCGCTTAAGGTCAACAGCGGAGGTGAAGGACAGGCCGCTGGGGGGTGGCGATCGGTCTGCGTGCCGCTACGAGGCTCGCGGTTTGGCGCAGCTGCAGGAGACGTTGGTCAGCGAGGAGACACAGAGCCGCGCCGCCATGTCCCTGGCCAGGCTCGAGGAGTTGCCCTGGTCGCGCATCCCGCGCGCCGCCCAGCACGGGGGCACCTCCTCAACGAGAGAGTTGTCGAGCTCTTCAATGGCGAAGGCGGCTTCTCGAAACCGGTGTCGAGGCTGGGGGTCACTTTGGAGGCATGGGGCGCGAATGATGGAGGTCGCGCTATCGCGCTCGTAACAGGAAGCGTCTGATCAAATATTATGGCTTTGGCCTCGCAGTTGCCCTGCTCGCCGCTCTCCCCTGCCAGACCTGGTCGCGCGCTGGCAAAGGCGATGACAAAGGCCCAGGGCCCCTGCGGGATGGCGGGGCCGACCTTTTGGACCCCCCCAGTCTCGAGGGCCGCGATCGCGAGCGCGTCGCCTTGGGAAACCGGCTCTGGCTCGTCGCATTTCGCATTGTCTGCCAGCTCGCGAGCATCGGGCCCCCCGTCGCCCTTGCAAACCCGTTCACGTCTTGGGTCTGACAAACAAAATAAAGCACCTTATCAGAAAGTTTGGGGCTCGTATCTAGGAGGCGCACTGTTGCCAATATGGGGCCCAGTGGAAAGAGCCAACCGGTTTCTTCATCATGAACTGCGACGCCATGCAGCAGTTCAAAACATGCACTGCTTCTGGAGGTCGGTGCTCAGCCACAGGTTACAAACCTTTCGTTCTTAGCGGCGAAGATGCTCAAAGTCTTCTCCAAACTAGACTGGCTCAGGCCTATTCCGCACCCCGGTGCGACTTTTTGGCTTCGTCTTTTCTGTCCCACCTGAACGAGCAGTATGCGTCCAGCTTGTACCATGACTTCTTTAAATAACTAGGCAAGTTTCTTAGATGCACTCCGTAGTGCGCATGTGCTTGTAGGTGCAGGTGATGCAGCTACTCGTTTGCTGCTAATGATATCCCGCCCGCTGCCTGCCGCGTCTCGCCGATGTGAACTGTCAGCTCGGTTGTGTGCCCTGACGCCGAGCTTCGTAAGACTGCGCGCGGTGCTGCCAAAAAGTTGTTGTACCATATCTGAGGATACGCCTTGCACGTCCTGGCACGGGTGGCAGCGGGATCATTGTGCTGTTCACGAGCTATGATAAAGGAGTAATGGGTGCCGTAACAGTGTTCCGGCTCAAATCTCCTCCCCCCTTACCAACCCTCAACCCTGGTCTGGAGGTCCAGCCAGGTTTGCATGTGTGTTCAACATCGCTCTTTTGCAGTACTCTCGCTAAAACGGGAACAGATCTCTTCGTCTTGGGGTGAGAGCTACTTGTTTGCTGCTAATGATATCCCGCCCGCTTTTTGCCACGTCTCGCTGACGTGTACTGTCAGCTCATTCGTGTGCCCTGACGTCGAGCTCTGGAGCACTGTGCGCGGTGCTGCCAACATATTGTAGCACCATATCTGAGGTTTCGCCTTGCACGTCCTGGCACGGGTGGCAGCGGGACCATGTAAATAACAGGGTGCGGGTCCCAGGAGGGGGGGGGGGTCAACAATAATTGTTCTCCAGAAATGAGAGCTCAACAACAACAACAACTGAAACAGCAACAGCAACACCAACAACAACAGCACCAACAACAATCCCAACATCACCACCTCCAACAGCAACAACATCACCAACAACAAACGCAACATCAGCAACACCTGTAACAGCAACATCAACACCACCAGCAACAACATGAATATCACCACCATCAATCGCGACAACAACAACAGCCACAACACAGTCACATCAGCAACACGAACAAACACAACGACCACAACAACAACAGCAACAGTCATTTTAAGACTGTTCGCCCTTATTTGCTCGAGTGTCCAATAACAAGTATTTCCCAAACCCTCGATACCTGCCCTCTTCGTCTTCGATCGAACCCCCTTTGGGGGGTATACTTTTCTTCCCTGCAGGCCGGGCCCCGGCAAGCGGCGGGGCGGCCGCGGACCGTCGACCCGACCCCAAGAGGAACGGACAGGGGACCGACCACGACGAGGACGACGACGACGACGGCGGCGACGACGACGAGCGAAAGCGAGAGCGAGAGAGAACGACAGCAGGGCCACGAGGACACGAAGTACGCCACGACGAGCGACAGCGGGGACACGAAGGGAATGCGTATGGGGCCACGAAGAGCGCGAACGAACGGGGGCCACGAAGGGCATACGTATACTTGGCCGCAGAGGGCAAGGACGGAGCCACTGAGGGCAGCAACGGGGCCACGAAGGGCAGCGAAGGGGCCACGAAGGGCGACGGCGGGGCCACGAAGGGCAGCAAGGGGGCCACGAAGGGCGACAACGGGGCCACGAAGGGCATGCGCATGGGGCAACGCCGGGCGCGAACGATCGGGGGCCACGAAGGGCAGATCATGCGGGGCCACAGAAGGCAACGACGGGGTCACTGAAGGTAGCAACTGGGCCACGTAGGACAGTGAGGGGGCCATAAACGGCGACAACGGGGCCACGAAGGGCATGCACATGGGACCACAACGGGCGCGAACGAACGGGGGCCACGAAGGGCATACTTATACTGGGCTGCGGAGGGCAAGGACGGGGCCATTGAGGGCAGCAGCGGGGCCACGAAGGGCAGCGAGGGGGCCACGAAGGGCGACAGCGGGGCCACGAAGGGCATGCATATGGGGCCACCACGGGCGCAAACGAACGGGGGCCACGAAAGGCATACATATGGGGCCACGAAAGCAACGATGGGGGCCACGAAGGGCAGCGAAGGGGCCGCGAAGGGCTGCAACGGGGCCACGAAGGGCTGCGACGGGGCCACGAAGGGCAGCGAGGGAGCCACGAAGGGTTACAACGGGGCCACGAAACAACGCGAGGGGGCCACGAAGGGCTGCAACGGGTCCACGAAGGGCAGCGAGGAGGCCACAAGAGGCTGCAACAGGGCCGCGAAGGGCAGCGAGGGGGCCACGAAGGGCTGCAACGGGGCCACGAAACAAATTGCGGGGGCCACGAAGGGCTGCAATGGGGCCACGAAGGGCAGCGAAATCCAGATTCTTAGGTAATTTGTGAGGACAGGGAGTCCTAAACTGAGCGCGACTCCTGGGTGCCTGGGTGTCGGGAGCGCGGCGCTTGAATAAATTGCAAGAGTTTCCAACGCAAGGGCGCTATTCTTCAGCAGTTGCAAGCACGTCTCCAGCGAAAGCGCGACTCTTCAGCGCCGGGAGAGCGTTTCCTGAATAAATTACAAGGAAGTCCAAAGCGAAAGCGCGATTCCTGAATAAAATGCGAAGAAGTCTCGGGCGGGAGCGGGGGTCCTGGCTAAATTGTGATGAAGTCTTAGGCGGGAGCCGAAGTTGTTGTAACCTGGGGGCCAACGACGCAGTTTGACCCTCAAGACCTTCCCTGATAAAAAAAAAGGTGCGAGCCCCGGGAAGGGCACTTCAATCGAGAAAAACAATGTGCACCGGACGGGGGGGATCAACAATAATTATTCTTCAGAAACTAGAGTTCAACAACAACAATCCGCACCGTGGAAGCCCACTTCAGCCGCGCACCCAGGGACAATGACAGACCGTTCGGTCCCTTCGCTCTGACGTGCACATGTACATGCGGTAGAGGTGAAAGTACACGCGTGCCCAATCGCGGGGGGAGCGTAGAATAGTGTTCAATTTGTGCATGGCTGCTCCAGTTTTCACAGCGTGGACCCCGCTGAGGTTTACACTCCTTCCCAGGGTTCGGCTTATCATCCCGAGTCGCTTCGTGATTGTCCTTGGGCACGGGCTCCTGGAGGCAGTAAATGAATCAGACTTTCCCGTTGCTCTAGGCCTCCTGGATGGGGTCGGAGTCGATGGGGTCGGAGTTTCGTGCTGCATCGCCGATGCATCGGGTATGCGGCTCGATGTGGAGCCCGATTGTCTCCACGCTGGAGTCGCCGATGCACCGCCGGCGTCGCCGATGCATCGTCGATGCGCCGCCGATGCGTCGTCGATGCGGCGCGATCCGCCGACCCCATCTATTCGGACCCTATCTGGGAGGCCCTTCGGTGTGTTTTTTCCAGCGGCGAGCGACGGGGGGAAGTGGGAAGGAGAAGGCCTTCTCAGAAGGAGGCGGAGCTTCTCAGAAGCCTGCCAGCCTTCTGAGAAGTTGTCTATGTCTTCGGGGAAGGCTCAGGACACTTCTCAGAAGGCCGGGAGACTTCCGAACCTTCCGAGATGGCCCTCCCTTCCTCCCTTCCCCCTTCGCTCTCCGCCGATGTTTCCCGGACAGGGCGCGGGCCCAGGGATCTATTGTAGGAGCGTGCCCCCGGAATCGACGGGCGCAGGGTCGGCGGAATTATTTGCGATAAATAACGAGGTCGCGTAGGGCCAGCGGAATTGAAGTTTGAGGATGTCCCTAGCAAGACGCTTGTTTTGCATGATGTGTTCGGGATGTTTCGAGCGAAACGTTTGTTTTGTGCTATAGATCGCTCCTCTCCTGGGGACCAGAATTCAGAGGATCTCTCAGGTGAAATGCTTGATTTCACGTGCCCAGGTCTTGAGGATATCTGGAGCGAGACGCTTCGAAGATTTCTCGAGCTAAACGCTGGTTTTGCAGAACTCGAGCGGCCTGGGCGCCCCAGGATGCCCAGGTGGTTCTGGGAGTCCGAACACAGCGTAATCTACTAAGGAACGCGGCCCTGGGAGCGCGGACGCAGCGTGATTCACGAGGGAGCGCAGCCTTGAGAGCGTGGACGCAGCGTAGTTTACGAGTGACCGTGGCCCTGGCACGTTCCGTGGCGCGTCCCGTGGCGAGTCCCCCTGGCACGTCGCGCGGCGCGTCCTTTGGCGTCCTCTGGCGTCCCCCTGGCACATCCTGCGGTGCGTCCCCATGGCACGTCCCTTGGCACGTTGCCTGGCGCGTCCCTTGCGACGTTCGGCGGCGCGTCCCCCTGGCATGTCCCCCCCTGTCAATTAGCTCTGGGGCAGCTACTATGTGCTCAGGCAGCTCGAGCTCAAGATCAAGACCAGTTCGGTCAGGACTCGGATGCAAAAGAGGACTCGATGCACACCGCTATAGGGCACAATCGCGGCATGGCGCATCGCAAGGCAGCACGGCGCAGCGCATCACAGCCCTTGGCACGGTACATTAAGATCGATACAGTCAGCATTGCAACCTGGCACGTTCCTTGGCACGTTCCGTGGCGCGTCCCGTGGCGAGTCCCCCTTGGCACGTCGCGCGGCGCTTCTCCTGGCACGTCCCGTGGCGCGTCCATTGGCACGTTCCGTAGCGCGTCCCCCTGGCACCTCCTGCGGTGCGTCCCCATGGCACGTCCCCTGGCACATCGCCTGGCGCGTCCCTTGCGACGTTCCGCGGCGCGTCCCCCTGGCATGTCCCCCTGTCAATTAGCTCTGGGGCAGCTACTATGTGCTCAGGCAGCTCGAGCTTAATATCAACAATCAAGACCAGTTCGGTCAGGACTCGGATGCAAAAGAGGACTCGATGCACACCGCTATAGAGTGAGCACAACCGCGGCATGGCACATCGCAATCCAGCACGGCGCAGCACAGCACAGCCCTCGGCACGGTACATCAAGATCGATACACTCAGCACTTCATTTGCCCGTCGCCCAATCAGGTCTCACTGAAAACGCTGCCACGTCTTACATTTCTGTATTCCTTTCCGGGTTCGTGGGTCGATCATGCTCCCACGACGCGAGGGGGGCACCGGGCCCGTGGACGGGCGCCTGGCGGATCCTCCCCGACCAGTACGTGGTGCGGCAGGGCAGCTCGGGCAGCACCCTCCACATCCTGTGCTACGGCTCCGCGACCTCGGAGGCGGGGCCCCTGGAGGGGGGGCTGCCCGTGCCGCGCCAGGCCAGTGTAGCGGAACTCGAGCTATCGGTGTTTTCGCGATTTCGTGGACCGTGCTCGTTTGGATCTCGTTTTGTAGAAAAAGGTGGGACGAATGCAGAACGAGGGAAAACGAACACAAAGCGACAATGAACAACACTGTTTGACTCGAGCCCTGAAAAGTGATCGTTTTCTTATTCATTGTTTTGCCGATCGGCACGGGCCCTCGCATCCCCCCCCTCCCCCCCTCACAGAGTAGATCTTGACCGTTTTTAGCGCTTGTTTTAAGCAGGTGGGGTCTTTTGTTGTGGGATGTACTGCTGCAAACAGACGCATTGAGCAGAGGTCCAGAGCCAGACCCCCGCACCTCCCCCCCCCTTCCGCCCAATGTCAAAACTGCGAATACGAAACGCTCACAACGGTACCCATACCGCTACCCTCGGCTCGTTGCCTTCCTGAGGCCTTTAGGGCGCATCCCTGGCCTGGGCCTCTTGGGGGCCTCTTGGGGGCCTCTTGGGGGCTTCCTGGGGGCGATTAGGAGGCTCTTGGGGACCTGCTGGCGGTCTCGGAGGCCGTCTTGGGAGGAGACGTCTCCCAATGTAAGTTCTTTCCTGGGCCCCTCATGGGGCTCTCTTGGGGGTCTCTTGGGGGCCTCTTGGGCCATCGGGGGGGCCTCTTGGGTAGTCCTGGGTCTCTCTCGGGGGCTTCTCGGGCTGTCTTGGAGCAATCTCGGGGGCCTCTTGGGTCGTCTTGGGCTGTCGGAAGCCCAGGACAGTTATCGTTTTGATATTCTGTGAAGAACCCAAGGACCTCTGGGGACTCTCTTAGAATCCTCTTGTGGCGCTCTTTGGCCGTGTTGGGGCTCTCTTGGAAGTTTCTTGCGCCGTCTTGAGGACATCTTGCGCTGTCTTTGAGCGCTCTTGGGCCGTCCCGGGGGCCTCTTCGACCGTCTTGAGGCCATCTTGGGCCGTCTTGGCGCGCTCTTGGGCCGTCTCGGGGCCCCTGGAGCTCCCGTGGGGTAATCCTGGGGCTGTCTCGGGTGTTCTCGGGGCCGCGCCCAGGTATATAATCATCTCTCGGGGATCCCCAAGGGCCGCCACGCGCGCGCGCTCGAACTAGTAATATTCTAAACCTCATACTGGAGATTTTAGCACGCCTTTGACCCGTTGGGCCAGCGAATTCAATCCTTTGCGTTTGTGTGTACGTAGCCAAGCCATCGTTGTCCAAACCGTAGGGGCCCAAGCAGCCGCAGGAACATGTGTGACACGCAGGGCCATAAGGGCGGAAGCCAGATGGGACTAAGCCACATTGGTCCAAGCCAAGTGGGTTTAAGCTAGGGATGTCCGAGCAGCAGCAGCCGCAAAAGGTTCGACACGCAGGGCCGGGGTCCAAGTCATGCAGGTCCAGCCAGCAACTGGAAGCATTAAGACACCCAGGGCCAATGGGGCGGGAAGCCATGGGGTTCCAAGCCATCGGGGTTCAAAGCACGTGGGGCCAAGCCATGGGGGGTCCAAGCAGCCACCGTAACAAGTGCGACACCCAGGGACACGCTATAGGGATCCGAGGTCTAATGCATCCGTTTTCAAAGAGCCGCATCATACACATTCGGCACCCATGACCAGTTCTTTAAGGCATGGGAATGCTCCCATATGTGCAAGCACTTCTTGGGGAGACAGGAAGCATCACCGATCATACCGAACATGGAAAGAGTCATAAGACGAATCTTCAGATTCATGATTCGGATTTCGTTGGAGGGCATGTGGGACTGATGCAAACCTCACCCCCCCACCCCCAATTTCCATATCGGCTGCAAGCCGAAACCGGTAACCCGAACTTTCTGATAAAAGAGGGAGGGTGTGATCGGGGGGGAGCTCTGATTTGAGCCGTGTTGGAGGGTTCCACGGCGTCTGGGCTCAAGACCGCCCTTTCATAGCTGGTCCAGGGGAGGGTCCGAACTGGCCCGTCTGGTAAGTTTGTGACCCCCACCCCTTTTTATGACATTCGGCGATGGTCTGAGATGGCCCCGAATGGTATGATCTAGCCTGCTCTGGTTAAGTGTGAGTACTAGGAGCACAATGATAGACAAACAGGAGGAGAAGGAACAAGAGCCATGCCATGAAGACATTGTTGCACCCTTCTTGACCAGTACCCGAGGGCCCCTGCGAGCTTCTCGTGCAATTTAGGAAGTTGTCGCGCTCTCCTTGGGCCCATCCTCTTCCGTCTTAGGGCCTGTTCTGTATGTTTGGGATCATCTTCGGGATGTGGAGTCTCCTTGAGACCTCCGTGGCTGAGGCTCTTTGAGCTTCTCCGCCGTCTCAGGAGCCTCTTACGACGTCTTGGAGGCTTCTTGGAGGTCTCTCGGGCCGTCCTGGAGGCCGTTCGTACGTCTTGGCAGCTTTCTCGGCCGCCTACTGCCCGCATGGTACTTTGATATATTTTTGGATGCCTCTTGGTGGCAAGTTAGGCTATCTGGCGGGGTGCGTGGGATCGTCTTGGAGGCCTCGTTGGCCTGCTTGAGAGCGCTTGAGGATAACAACTGGCGCAATGCTGCGTCATGAAAAATGCCAGCTTCCCAACTGAGGGAAGGGGACTTCACGATGCTAGAAGCTAGACAGGCCAAGCATAAGGAGGAAGACCGACGACGACGGCGACGAGGCGGAACACATCTCACATGTTTGTACCAATGTCTGTGCCCCAGTGGAGATACATTGAGAGCATCTTGGAGTCTCTTTGAGCCCTCTTGAGGCTGTCTTCGGGCAGTTTCGGGGATCCATGGAGCCCGCTCGGGGGCCCTGTTGGGAGCCTTTCGGGCCCTCCTCGGGCCATACTGGAGGAAATCGATCAAGCATGAGGTCCTCACTTACACCCCCCCAACAACGACACACTGGCTCAATCACTTTGGGCTGGGCTCTCAAGCGTTTTGGGTGCCGCACGGCGAGGCACCGTCCGTATCCCACAGCTCCACCACCATCCTAGCCTCAGTCCCATGGGTCTTGCCGCGAAGATCGTCGCAGTCGCCGCGCTGGTCTGCTTGGTGCCCGCCGAGGCGAAAGTGTGGTACCTTGGCAGTCCCGGCGCATCGTGCACAGAAACTTGTGCTGCTGTGTCAGGGACTTGTGCCAAGCCTCACTCGATTTGGTCTTTCAAGGCGCCAGACGTTGCAGAGGCGCTCTGTGTCGACTGCACCGGCTGGCTTTGGAGTCCCCATGGTTCCACTCCGTTTGGCACGAAGAACGGCAGATGCTACACATACACGCCGAGCTCTTATGACTGCAACGCGAGTGTTGAAAGTGCTTTTCAAAGTTTTTGCATCTGCGGTGGCGTCGGCGACGTTCAACCTCCGTGTCCGACGCCAAGCCCGACGCCGAGTCCGAAGCCCGCTCAAAGATACGAGCAGTCCGAATGAGGATACGAGCAGTCCGCTCAAACAAGCGAGCAGTTCGAATGAGGATACGAGCAGTCCGAATGAGGCATGCGAGTCGAAGGGCGATGGCTGCGAGATCGGGTGCTCAGATGGCGGCGTCCCAGCAGAGTGCGGCGGTTCATCGTGTTGCGAGCTCTTCCAGGAGGCCCTCGCGGAGCTCCACCAGGTTGGCGACAGCTCGGACCCGAATGGCGACTTCAGCTGCGGCAAGGTCCTGGAGGTCGTGCGGAAGCAGTGCGAGTCCTGCTCGGTGTGCGAGGCCGGTGCGGAGGCTGGCGAGAAGTGGGCGAGGCTCCTGACGGATGGCCCAGTGTCGGCCGGGCTGGGGTCGTCGGGCGCCGCGGCGGCGGCCGCCCTCGCGGCCCTCGTAGCAGCCGCTGTGCTCGGGGGGGGCGCGATGGTGCTCAGGCGCTGGGGCGCGGCCCAGGCGCCTGCCGACGACGGCGCCCACGAGGCCCCACTGGACTGAGTGCCAGGGTATCGCACTGCTCCTTTTTACCACCTCTCTCTCTCTCTCCCTCCCTTCCTCTTGCTCCTCTTGCTTATCCTCTTCTCTTCTCGTTCTTGACGCGCGCCAGCCTGCGTAAGGTGATGCGCCCTCGAAGTATCTGCAATCTCGATAGGTTCAGGTCAGAGCCAACGATGGGTACGCACCCGTTGCTCGACGTCTATCGAGAACTTTCGTCGACATGCCTGCACTGCACTGCATCTGTATAGGGTAGCTGCTCTGCATTGAGCCGCTCGGCGCGCAGTAAGGAGACCAACCCCCTGCGGGCAGCTGCTCTGCATTGAGCCGCTCGGCGCGCAGTAAGGAGACCAACCTCCTGCAGGCTCACGGAAACTTCGGGGCTTCCCTCATTTCGACTTGAGTTTGAAGTTTCGCTGGACGCGAGTCGCGAGAAAGCTTCGCTCCATGTTAATGTCTGTCCAATGAAACAAGGTCAAGAAAGGCGCATCTGCAGCGAAAAAAACATGCCAAGGGCCAGCTAACGTGGGATCATGCGAAATCTTTTTTAGACCTGCGGCCAGCTGTACCGTAGCACCCCGCAGATGAGGATAAGAGTGAGGGGGCGGTGGGGACGTCGACAGTCTGCTAGACTCTGGAGAAGCCCGCCGCAGGCGCCAACGTTTCACAAATGATACAACGAACCCGCCGCAGGCGCCGACTTTTTTGTTAAACCAATGTGGGTAGGTCCCGGGTGGGTCGCGGGGGGGTCGCAAATGCGTAGCGGATGGGTCGCTGGTGGGGCGCGGGCGGGTCGTTGTTGGGTCGCGGGTGGGTCGCAAGTGGGTCGCGGGTGGGTCGCGGTGGTCGGGTGGGTCGCAAGTGGGTGGGTCGTGGGTGGGTCGCGGGGTGGGTCGCGGGTGGGCGCGGGTCGCGGGTGGGTCGCGGGTGGGTCGCAAGTGGGTCGCGGGTGGTCGCAAGTGGGTCGCAAGTGGGTCGCGGGTGGGTCGCGGGTGCGTCGCGGGTCGCAAGTGGTCGCGGGGTGGTCGTCGCGGGTGCGTCGCGGGGTCGCGGGTGGGTCGCGGGGTCGCGGATCGCGGGTGGGTCGCGGGTGGG